AATTATATACAATTCGATTAAGATAAAATTGATGTCGTCGTTACGGTGAAGCACGGCTTTCATCCTAAAAACGTAACAATAATATCATAACAAATGAAATATGGGAGTAATATTCATACCTCTAAAGTTCTTGATTACTAGTTTTTTGGTGGATCCAGGCTTGGTATTTGCCAAGGGTGATGTCCTGTTTGTAAACCCATTATTTGTTGGATTCAACGCTGAAAAATTGGGCCTTCTTTGTGTAGAGTCAGCCATGGGAGAGCTTTCATTAGGTGAATCGTCACGAAATTTCTTACTCGAGTTCTGGAGATGATGATTGTTTTCGTCCGGTCTGCGCTTTTTGAGATTTGTCTCCAGTTCCGTTTTTATGAACGGGCTCTTCTCTGTACTTGTCAGAGGCATGCAACAGCCGGATGTGGCCCTGGAACGGCCTCTAAAGCTAAGAAATTCGAAAATATAAGAAACTTACAGGGTATATACGACTATAATTTGGCATGCAAAAAAATCAAGATGGCTGACTTGTCGCTGAGCATTCTGGGAATTTAGAAGCAGCTGTTAGGTCATAGGTCGCAGTCATAGGTGGTGCACAAACGGTTTCTATTCACCCACTGAGTAGGTAATGTCCCGTAGAATTGTAAACAAAGATTCCAGTCAAACTCGTATTAGTATTATTATCATAATTTTATATCGAAAAATGTTAATATATATAACAAATCTAAATTTTGTTCTTATGAATAAGGTTCATATTTGTCATTAGATCACCATATTATACGTATTTGTTTTATTAGCAATACGTGAAATGACACTTTGAACTAACATGAAGACGCACATTTATATATATTTATTTATTTATTTATTTATTTATTTATTTATTTATTTATTTATTTATTTATTTATTTATTTATTTATTTATTTATTCAGTTGTGATGTAATACAAATATATGATCAAAATCAAATCGAAATGTAGTTATGTTATGTAGTTATGATAACTTCAGACTACATACATGGTATACTTACAGTTTGTAGCATAAAAATACTGAATATAATCGTTTTCTAACATATACTTGTTTTGTTTTAATGACTGGAAGATTTCACTCTGCAAAATATCAATAATTTGTTATGCTGTTGCAATTTCCACATGATTTACTAGTTCATCCATGTTTTGCCTTGGCAAACCCATAGCTTTACCGTCAGTCACGGGGCGTCAGCCTTCTCAACTAAATTTTCTTTTCTTTGACTGGTTATCTGTCATTGCATGTAGGCATATACCTTGAACCGACAATACGTGCATGGGAAATAGTAGATAGGATCATTGTGAACACAATCTACATTACATACGAAGTATGGAGTAAATATATGGAAAAATCAAATTTAAATATTCGTTCGACGGTATACATAGTACCCGGCAATAACCGGACTAGCTGTGGGTCCATAGCTCTTCTTGTGTCGTTCTTCAGTCTTTGTGATGGTATTTTAGTCATTTCTGATGTATTTTGTGTCATTAAATTTGTTATTTTCAGATAATACGATTGACATACGGTTTATGCCTTTTTTGAAGACAAAACTTAGAGTTTTACCATGAAATGATACAAAGTGTAGTGCTGTGAAATAATGAATTACAGAGCTAGAGTCAGTCGTCACGCAGCAAGAGTTCGAATTTCATGTCAAATAAACAATATGTTTTACACGCGTTCTACAAGTCGCTATGAATCTCATATCGAACAGGATGGGGTCACCACATTAATTTTCGAGAAAATGGTGGTTGCATTTTAGTAGATAATGGCCATTTTGGCAGTATTATAGTGCTTTTACCATAGGTTCCTATGGCAGAGATATTATGCCATATCTCAAATTGCAGGCTGATATTGTCTGACAAAATAATATATTGTGAATAGTGGGGTACTTTTTCCTGTCCTCAATTATATCAAAAATCTGGGTTCTAAAAAGTGTCAAAAAATGCAATTTTTCTTTAACATTGTGCTCTATGGAATTGTTCTAAAAATAGCAAACTAGCGAATCGAACAAGATGCTCAAATTTCTAAACATAGAAAAATGGTTAATTTGTCCTATCTGAAACAGCTGGTTTAAGCATGTATGTATGCTGGTAACATTGTGCATTAATCCTCGGTAGCTTCTTGTAGTAACAAGTTCTTATTTCCAAGCGGTCGATGACATACACCGCTCCTCTAAATCTCCAGACACCTTATTATGTGCATCCACATATAATTCAGCGTGATTTAGTAATATCCCATTGATACGGGGACGGTGATTAGTACGTCACTGTGTATTGTCTGTATGAATACATCAACAACATATTTAGGTATATCAGCAAGACGAAGAGTTTATTATAAAAATAATGATTTCAATATAATATTATTTCTTGCAGTACGAATATCATTCCAAACGGAGGAATCACAAAGTGAACCGATATATGATGTGCATTTTGATTTGTCACGCTTACAATAAATTCATCACTTGTTAAAAGACTCCGATATTTACAGTAGTTTATTGTTCTAGTTTACATTTAGCAATAAAAGCGTCCACTTTACTGTATGCTTTGGACCAGTTACTTCTGAAGTGTCCTGAAATATGAACACAAAACAGAATGAAATGACGTTAAATTACACGGTAATTGACACAGATGTCCGTGAAATACATCTCCAATACTTACGTGGTAAAGTAAAGAATGAATGGATCACTCCTTCCATGACGCAAATCTCCACATGTCCACCAGCATCCTTTAGTTTGTCAGCATACGCTAGGAAAAAGTGGAGTGAATATATATGTACATAAAGGTATATATAACTATATCATAATGTAACATGACAGTAGCGGTTGTGTAGCGGTGGTTGAGTGTAAAACAATCTATAAGGGACAGGTGCAACACGTTATTTAGGAGTCAACTATTAAAGCTTGGAGGGGTGTTGGAAAATTTGAAACAACAACAATACTCTGTTGCAAATACTTGTTACGTGCTTCACCTCGGAATGGGACCCATCACTTTATTTTGTTCACTCGATTTGTAACATCTTTCACCACCACGGCTCAATTCATTGTGAGTAATTTTTCCCTCTTGCGATGGTCCACGATATCAATTATGCTTTGTGTAATACTCATGATTGACCATGATTTCTTTGCTCTACGTGCCATTACCAGACACTTACTTTCTCATTAATCTACCTGCCACTTCCAAACGTTGGCTTTCCCATTGTATTTCTATCGTAGAATAGTTGATTACCAAATTACGTGTATAATGTCACTGATTATTAAGTTAACATCGATCTTGAACAATAAAAGTTGAAAATATCGACAGCAAATACATTTTCTCAACATCCTTCTCAAAACTAATTTGTGCATAATTGTTTTTCTCTAGTGTCTAATGATCGAATCCTTAGTGATGTACTCACCTAAACCTTCATCACGAAGTGGATCACATTCTGCTATAATAAAGAGAGCATTCGGTGATGCAGACAGCGCTGACTTGTCTCTTAGCAACGGGTGTCCAAATGAATCATCCCATTCATCAGTAGAACTATAGAAGTAGTTGCTCAACCTTAAAAAAATGTTTTAGTGGTGAATTTCACACTGGCGACTATAAACGCCCGTGCCCCAGGAATTTGTGACATATAGTGTTATTTGTCACGTGTTCAAGTTTATATTACATACACCAATAATATTGTAATGTTTTGTGTTTTTACATTGATTAAGTCCCGTGTATAAGCTATTGTCACAAAATCATAATATGGGTGGCAGTGTTGAATGCACCAGCAATTGCCAAATTGAATCAAGGCATCGACCCAGAAAACTGTACTGCTTACTGCTTACTTACCACCGCATTGTATCCATTTCTAAAAAGTACCCCTTTTCAAATTCTCTTTGTGATTGGAACTCTCCATTCATGTGAGTGGATGGATAAAATAAAATCTGTAAAAAATAAGATTATATTTATTGCGATTACAATAAAGAATACACGATAAGAAGATGTGATTACCGACTTATACCACAAAAACAAATTATAGTTGCAAAAAAACGAAGAACATTGTAAATGAAGCACCCCTCTATAATATTTACATAAAAACATATATTCAGTCGTGCTGCAAATTAATTATTAATTGCGTCATTAACCGTTTTACTCCATTTTCGCGTATTCTTGTGATCACGTGACTTGGTATTTGCATAATTTAAAAAATTGCCATATTTCCAAAGTTTGAAACAAGATCGTTATTATGGTATATAACATGTATGGGTAAAATGTATGTTTCAGTCCGTAAATTGAGACCAAAAAATTGAACCAGCGAACGTATGCTAACCCCTTAAAACATTCAACAAACAATTGCGGCGATGGACAAAGTAAACAATTACAATTAACCTACATTATACCTCTCATCATCATGTGACCCATTCTTGAAACCATTCGTACTATATATAATACCACTATTTGCTATGTCTCTATGTTGTTTTAAGTATGTCTTTTATTTTTTGTAGACGACATTTTCTTCCAGAATCGGCCATTTTTGTCGGTTGCAAAATGCCCGTTTCTTTGTTAAGTCCGGGATTACTAGTTAGAGTCAACACGGAGCTACTTACAAGACTGTGCCCCATTGGTTACCTAACCCTAACGCGTAACAGTCCGACCAATCAGAGTACAGCTTGTTGTCGTGTGTGTATTTCGACGTATCACGTTCTGTTTTGTATATATGCTTGGACACAATTGCGAAATTGCAGAAACTGTGGCGTTTATTTAGCGTACCCTAACTCGTGTATACTCGTGAATACACACGGGTATATTGTACGCTCTGTCATTCGCTCATTAATAAATTCATTACGTATTACATGACATTGATTGTATCATTGGGATATTTTAATCGTCATTGGTGTATATGTAGCGTACGTGAACCAGAATCCAGGCGTTATTTCGACTATTAGTGACTTTTTTTGTATTTTGTTGCTGCGAAGAATTTTCCCTCCTATTCTATTTCAAAACTAGTAAGTGGTAACAAGATATGTTGTATTAAGTGTGGCTGGTTATTAATATGCATGGAAACAAGTTTAGATTTACATGACTGAACGAATGACCTGAACGACTCGGATGTGCCTCGCGACTAAGTATGACGTACGTAATGGTAAGCGTGCGAGATAGTTTACGTTTATGGTGATAGTTAACGCAAGGCTGAATGTATTTCTAAGCATAACGCAACTGTAGCGTTCACACTCATCGAGCTGAAATTATTGACAAAACAATGAAAAATTCGGCTTTGCAACATTGAAACAATCGTTCTTTTGTTATTTCAAATTAAAATTGTCTATTGGCCGTCCTGTTATTCTCACATAAATAAATCAATAAATTGCACTTTTTCGGATACGTGGTATCTCATCTGTTTCGGTGACGATTTACGATGTTTTTTACACAGCAGCGCAGTTTATTAGTGTAAACCCAGCCATAGCGTACAATTCACCACACGTATTTTCGACAAACCCATGCGTATACATACCTGCATCTTCGCCAGCCAAGGGCCGGCTTCAGTAAAACCGTGCGATTCGGACGATGACATACCTGGAATCGGATACTTGGAACTTCCAAGGCAACGACCGCTGCAATGGTGCCACCAGCACTGCTACCACACACTCCCACAATGCTTTGCTCATTTCCTCCAATGGTAGGCTTATTTCCAATCACCCACTTAGTAGTACAAATACCATCATAAAAACACGTAGGATACTTGTACTCTGGTGCTAGTCTATAGTCAACACTAACCACTATGCATTTAGATAAGCTTAGGACAAATGAAAAAAAATGATAGAAAAATACAGATGGATGATTCAGTGAAAATAAAATTCAGCGAATATTTAATTAATTGCTTTATTTTACATTCAACTACTCAAAAATCAGTGAAAATAAATTCCACCACTACATCCAAAAAGTCTTTCTAGCGAAATGACGTATTTTACAGTATTGTGTCCTGGGAAATAATTCAAACACTGCCCTCTAACCACCGTACACACACCACGGGATAGATCATAAGTGGCAGTCACGGATGAGTTTATCTCTGTAAAAGGGAAAGATGGCGGCGGATATTCTAAAGTACAAACGAATGACGTGGCGTCAAATGAGACATACAATGTGATGTGAAGACACATCATTGATGAAATCGCTGATGAAAAATAAAAATAAAATAGACGAGCAGGTTATAAACAATATCTCATTTGTGGTTTCGATCTGCATTTCATATGGTGAGTCAATGTGATGTGATTACATTCACAACAGTGAGTAAAATTTCCGACATGTGATGTGAAGACACTTTAAGATAATAATATCTTACCAGGCAATCTTTTTGCATGTCGTCTCCACGCTGTGTAATTGACCCGTCACAAAACCACCGCCATGAAAGTATATCAAAATTGGTGGGTTATCTTGACAGATAGTGGGTTTGTAGACTCTTACGATGATACAAACACTCTCTGTCACAAAAAATGCAAAAAAACAATGTTTAACAACGAATATTTAATCCAATCAGTGAAAACAAATGTTATGTGAGTCAAAAATTTCAGTATCAAGTATACTAGTATTCATTGTACTGAGTTTGAAGGAAATCACATGAACCAGAGAAATAGATGTTACTTACTAATAATAGAAATAATATGCATGATGATACAGAGTTTGAATAAAATCGCTCTTCGTCTCTTAAAAAATCGTTTCGAATAGGTTTACATATTACGATTGCTATTTTAAGTTTTTAGACAAAATGGTTATGAATTCGATAGATGCAATCACACACACAAAAAACACATTTGAGTACTAGTATAATACTTGTGAATACATTTTAGACTGAATCCGGCGATATATTAGTGAGTAATCAGTATGGAAATGAATAAAAACAAAATGCACTTGTCTATAGATATGCATGATTCTGATACAAAGTTTAAGTGTAATTGCCCAGGATGCGATTTTTTGGGTTTCAGACAAAATGACCGTCAATAAGACAAATTTGATCGCCAGTCAGCCATATTTAATCAAATGGAAAAGAAAATATACAATGCATATGTAAGTCACCATACATGGTTTTTGTGTCAAGTTAGAATGTGAGAAGTGATCCGGATAGACAGACGGGTACATGGACGAATTAACGGACGATATATTCAAATAAATATGTACTGGTACTATGAGACGTGTCATTCTTCGTTATAGTATCACAGAAAAAGCCGAATTAGAGAACTGAATGACCACTGTTAGTTTTTCACTGTTACAGAATTATAGCATCTTTACTAATGCTTTTCTGTTATATTTTACAATCACTAAATGAATTTTTTTTCTCCGTGACACAACTTGCACATTCTAAGACGAAATGTTGGTACTATTCCACGAAGACTGAAATTTATAATTAAATTCACATATTTCGTCAAACTTGTATGCTTTCTTGAAATAGTGTACCTTCTAATTTAGTTTCCTTCTTTTTTATTACACTGTAGTTTTTTTAAAATTAATTTGCTCTTGTCTGTGTATTCGACTGTTCATCTTTTGCAATGTTTAATAGTTGATCAATTTTACTCTAATTAAAATTAATTTTTCCTAAACCAATCTTATTACGACCGCGTTTGGACGAAACTGTGTCAATGAAATAGAATCATGGGAAAGGGGAATTGTTGGTACAGTACATTAGGATAAGAATAGTCGCGAGACGACAGCACCACACAACGATTCGAACCCCTGCCCCGCGGAGGACTGTCGTTTCTCCCAATGACGCTTCGTCCCAATGTAGTGTTGTCCTAATTCTGGGATGAAATTCGTATTTGAATTACGTCTCAAGCAAGTTCAGGGCGTCACCGAAGATACAATCATGTTTGGGGTCACCACCGGTGCAACCAAAACATTTGTCCTCAATTGTACTTAGATTTGTACAGACATTCCACGGCCCTGCTTGTGCATTTGTCGTGAAAATGACCCCATTCGTGACTGAATGTGCCGTTTTAACAGCAATAAAATATATCTGTGCTACGATCAAATTCCCGTCTCGACCACTAAAACCGTACTCAGTAAATGAATGGTCCCCTTT